AGCTCGAAAACTGTTTGAATGATTTGTTGGTCCTTGATCAACTCGTCTTTGACGTTGCCGTCGAGAGTGAGGTACGATAGGCCTTTAACGGCCCATTTTATTATATTTTTTTCTTTCTTGGGATTTATTAATAATCTTCTGCAAACCTTGACTAATTTGTCCGTCGCTTCACCCCAGAACGGTTTGCTAATGTAACCGCGGGTTTTAAACTTGCTCCACTCGCAGAAACCCACCAACGCTTGAATCCGTATTACATCATCCTTAGATTGATACAGAAATATCCGCAATATCTTTACACCTTCATTTATGAGCGCGTTGACCTCATCAAAATTAGTCATAGCGGCAACGAGGCATTCGCAAACCACTTTCTGTTGCAATACGTCATCCGTTTTCGCCATATCGAGAATCCTCATACAACCCGTCGACGGATTTGTAAAGATAATTCTGTCTGCAACTTCTAACGGACCGAATATTAGGGTTGTTATTGCAACTACTCCACGCAGCTGTAAGATAATCGATTATAACAATTTATAAATTTGTACATTTTATGAAATAATAATTAATTAAAAAGAAATGTCAATGATTAGCTTTATTTAATTTTGATGAAAAATAGGAGAAGTCTTTGATAAATTATGCTTCAGAAAATACGATAGATGACAAAGTCATATTCTTCAGTAAATTTTGATTAAACTCTGTTATAACCGTATTTTAATATATAAAGTTACAGAATATACAAAATCGACAATTTAAAAGGAAATCTCTTTTGACATTTTTGCTTTAAAAATATATTGTTTTAAATTTCTCAAGTACGCTAAGGTTAGAGAGATAATAGATTTTTTATTTTAAAACAATTTAAGTAATTAGAAAAGATCCGAAGTTACAAAATTCATACTTTAGATTCTGTGTCAGATGTAAACAATTTATCCTTAATAAATTTATCAATGGTGTTGAAAAATATCCCCTTATCGACATTACGGTCCATGTTTTTCCATATCTTTGCTAAGGACATACTGATAATAGTTCGCGTGGAATACGTGATGTCGAACGAAGATTCGTATTGGTATTCCTCCAATTGACTGGCAACCTCCATTAATTTTTTCAAACCGTCAAACTTGACTAATCGTTTGGCCCAGTCTAACGCAGTATAATGAATGTTACGCGTAATAAGTTCTATTATTGCGTCTCTAGCAAGTCCTGTTATCGTTTTACTCTCTACACTATTCAACAAGCACGACAAAATCGTATTAATTTCTTTCTTATGCTTTTCGCACAAAGCCTCGTCGGGTTTTGTACTGGGTTCATTATTCATGCCGCTATATTTGTTCAATATATTCTGAAACCGAAATGCACAATAAATTAATTACTGAAATATGTGCATGATAACTGCACGTATTTCGCTTGATAATAATATTTACCTGTAAACAGTATTGAGACGCGTTGACTCTTTCTGTAGATTTGCTGTTCATCATTTCCAGACTCCAAGGCAAAACAACGTTTATCATAGTGGGCTCAGTTTGATTAATATTGTTTTGGCATAACTCGTCTACAATACGAATCGCGCTACAGATCGCTTCATCATCTTTTTTTACTTCCTTTATAAAGATTTCGCAGGCATCAGTTCTCCAACTTGCGAGCCTAAGCATATTAATCATGGCGTTTTCACGTTCCTCTTTATCTACGCTCACGTTAAATGCTAGACCCATCATTTGTGATACCTAATACGAAACGAAATTAAGCGTATATTTGAATATAAAGATCTCGTGATCTTCTGTAATAAAAATATAAGTTAACTGTGAAAGGTGATATTTCTATATTTGTATGACGTAATTTTTATCCATATAGTGTGTGTAGACAGCTACTAATCAATAGGAATAACTAATTATATAATAAGAGAGACAAGAATTCAACTCCGTTTGTCAAATTATATGTAATATTGAGTGAAACGAGAACTCTTATTAGAATATATATGTATATTGAGCATGAAAAATGTGTTATTATTTTTATATTATCTAGACCAAATTAACGTGTCTTGTAAGTTTATAGTTATGTATATTTATTTTGGCATTAGTACTTACTTTTTCTTTAATATGTTTGTGTGAAATTTCATGAAATTGCGTTGGTAGAGATTGAGACATTGTGTTATCTGAGTAACATAAAATCATTTTCATGTTTTGACGTGCCTCCTCGAATCTCTCTAACTCTATTAATGCTAAAAATCTGCGAAACATTGATATGGAAAGTATTTTATGATATATTTTCATCACACTGTTGCAGTCTTCAATCGTTTTGTCGTAATCACGTAGTTCGAAATATGTGGCAGATCGTTTATCGTAATACAATGCTTTCTCAGTGTTGTCCTCTGTTACTATTTCAATTGCGTTTGTGTAATAACTTAAGGCTTTAGACCAATTGCCTTTGTTAAACTCTTCATCACCTTTCTCTTTCCATTTCTGTGTAGTCATATTTGACTTTGGCATGGTGGAATAACTCTACAATACAAAATATATGATGTTGCAATTTTTTTTAACATTGAAAGACTTTGTGGCATTTTATACATTATCTTAAATGTGAAAAGCACAAGTTATAAATTTATTACAAAATATTTATATGCCAAGTATGAGACAGTAATGAGTCAAAAATAAACTTACAGCACTTATAGCGTTTTTTCTTGGCTGCACTACCGCCCTGCACTGCCCTGCACTACCCAATAGCGTTGCACTAGTGTTGCACTAGTGTTGCACTAGTAGGCGATAGTGCAGCCAAAAAAAAACGCTATTAATAATAGCATTATTGCACTTTCTAATGTAAAACCTGCATATAAATTGTAATCGACTGTAGCAACCATTTTTATATTAGACAGCTGACTTTTATTAAACATTAAAAAACAGGTTTATTAACATTAAACATTAAAAAACAGGTTTATTTTCGGCAAACTGTCTTCGATATAAATAGGAGCTAGCACTGGGGTTCAATAGAGACTGAATAATGCTATCGATCTATTGATTGTAATTTAATTATTATTGATCGCGAAAGTTCGAGTTTGGATCGACAACAATTCATGACATTACATGTTGATATTTTATTTTTTTTTAACGAGAGAAATGTATAATTTTACATTTCGCTGCAATAGTCAGGAGCAATTTACATTTCTCTTTTTTTTGCGTCGGGAATTTAAATTCTCCCAATGCGTGTCTGGGAAGAGCGTGCGATTTATCTCAGATTTGCGAGAAATTTAATTGCGTGAAGTTAAATCTCGTTCCATCGATATTTTTGTTTATATGGCGATATTTAACGTTCCGTCAACCAAGTGATTGTTTTTCGGTTTTTTTCTTTGACACATCCAAGTACTTTGGTTTGTTCACCCAGTTCGAACGTGTTTCGTATAAACAGATCGTCACAACGGTCGATGGCTGAAGGGTAACATAAGAAAACAAGGACTCGGGCAACAAGGACTTTAGATTCGTGGAGAGTCACATTTTGACGAGATAAATATTACGGTACACGAAAGTTAATTTTTCAGTTACATAAAAGAAAAGAAACATTAATATGATTTATCATTAAATTATAGGGTGTTTTGTCATACGTCGCTTTTTCTTCGAATAACATGAGATGGTTCTAAACGTTTATATTAATGCTCTAATTGCAACTTATTCAGAAGAATTCGGATACTGTGTTTAATTATAGCCCTACAATGGAATTACTGCCTGGTTTGGCTTTACAGTTTTACTCGAATAAGATACACAGTAGCGTGATCGAGCGGAAATGAAACGTTTTGCTCTACTTGCCTCGACGATTCGTATTTTCAGTCAAAAAGTAATAATCTCACATTTGTTACGAATACCTTTATCACATCGAATTGGATCACGTTGCACGCGAAAAGCTTTTATTCAGATTGTCGCGGCCAAATAAAAGAGAATGTAAAGTTTTTATACCTGTCGGATATTTGTTTTCTCCTGTCGCTCGAGCACCCTTAAATTTCTTTGCTCCACGATTGTCTACCTAGCACTCCTTTTCAACGAGTAATTCGAACCGCTAAGCATTATCCAAAGTGAGTGCCGTGCGCCGTCTCCCTCCAATAGAATTTCTGATTAGCTTTTCGTAGCCACGTGACCGGCGTTGCTAGTGAGGCACAAGGCTGCGCGTCACGTGACTTTCGTAAAAAACAGTCAAAATTGATTTTTCGCAGAATTCAGGATGAAACATCGGCGATAAGCAAATAAAGTTACGAGCGAAGCGTCGTGACGCGGATAATTCGACGATATTGTTCGGCGAAGTAAGATCTCACGCGACCAATATAGGAATGCTCGACTCGAATTACATCGGGATTAACACTAGGATTAAAGTCCTGGATAAGAATGCCTGATTGTCGTCAGGTATAGGCGCCTCGCATGCGCGCTAAAGGCCATTGCACGTGACAAAGTTTTATAGTCATAGGTAATCGTAAGACCGTAAAAAAATAGACCAATCACAGTCGATTATTCTTCTTGAGCTCGAAAAATAATCGAGTGTGATTGGTCTATTTTCTTACGGCCTTACGATTATGACTAAAACTTTGTTACGTGCAATGGCCCTAACGATCCTTAATCGACCGTAATGTTCGTATTTTTTGTAATTTTTAAACAACGGCAGGTGGCGGGCGAACGGAAGACTGCTATGCGTTCTATCCATTTTCGCACACTTTGTAACGATACTGGGAAATTTTTTTTTAAATCAACGATTGTATTTTATAAAACTTTTGGACTAAATCATGACTCGAATTAGTTTAAATTGTTTTCACTAATGTTGCATGTAGAAGAATTGCATCTTTTGCTGCTCCGGGATATATATATTCGCAATACATTTTATTATACCAAATTTACGTTGTTTTATTAGAATCATAATTCTTTTTATTATAAATAGCGATGTTATTTATTAATAATGGAAATAACTTACAGGTCTATTGTGCAATGCACTTTTGAAGCCGGTAGTTTTGCAACATCGTAAATTGAAGTTTCTGGTTAAGATGTATTGCAATTTGCGCCAGATTTCACAGTAAAATTCTACCAAAACAAATTTTCTAAAATTCAACCAATAAATTTTTTCAACTTTCAATAGAACCAATTTTTCTTGTATATATGTATATATGTATAATTGTATGTATAATACTTGAAGAAATTAATATAGCCTGTAATATTAACTTTACAATTTATTTCCATTACATGGGGCATAAAATTGATTTTTATCTCTATTTACTGTGAATCTCACTGCCACGAATCGTTTAAGGTAGTTAGTCCGTAAACTCATTTTCTTGGAAACCTTATAAAATTTGAACAGTATATATTAATGTAAAAACAATTTATATATTTATACAATTAGAAAAAAATTGACGTACCGAAGTTGAGATAATTGGAATCAAAGTTAGTACTTTTTTATGTATCACAGATACAATAACTTCTGATATGTTTCTAATTGTAGCGATTAAACTACTCTTGCAACTTTTATGGAAAACAAGAAAACGATAGAAGAGACTTGTAAAAATATACTTACAAAAATACAAGCCCTTTGAACGTCTAGTTTCAAAGTAATTGATACCTAAAAAGTACACAATTTTTGATATTAGCGATGAACGCATATGATAGCTAACCTTTGAAGTATTAGTGTCTATATATACATGTACATATGAGATTCTTACACACACACACACTTGCATAACGCGAACAATCCCAGACAAATATTATATACGTCATTTGCTTATTATTAACTTTTTGACAGTGTTGTCACGGACTAACTACTTTAAAGTAGAACCAGGATTTTACACATTTCAGTCCGATTTCGTTGTTGACGTCCACTATCTCAGTCTTACCATTCGTGTTATAGTAACGAGCCATCGGACTCGTCTAACGATAAACACAAGCCGCAGGATACTTTATCACAGAAGCGATAGTACTATAATCGATATATCGATAGAATCATTATTGTTTTAAGTATTATGAAGTAGTTAGTTATTATTGATGACAAAAAAATTAAAATTATTTATAAAAGAAATATAGACATTTATACAAGAAAATTTTAAGTACATAGTTCTCGACACATTGTCAAACAAAAAAGGCCAATGTTTTGTACGCGATCTACAAAAAAATGCCAACGTCGTTTGCGCGTTTAAAAAGAACGCCAGCGTTTTTAATGAACGCGTAAAAAATGCTAGCGTCCGTTCTAAAAACGAGTAGAAAACGCTAGCGTCTTTTTTTTTAAATAGCGCATTGAGAACTATCTACTTAAAATTCTTTTGTTTTAAATAACTTTAAAATATTAATTTAAAGTTTTTTTGAAAAATCCGTAGAAGAAGCCAGCGTTATTTTGAAAACGCGCAGAAAAGGCTAATATTATTTTTAATACGCGTAAAAAACGCCGACGCGACGGTCTTTTGAGAACTGCAACAATTCCGTGCTTTTTTAAAAACACGTCCAAATACAGTTATTTTTTGATAACGCTTAAAACCGCGCGCGATTCTTCTGAATCTGCGTGCGACTTTTTTAATCCAAGTGCAATTTAAAAAAAAATACATGCGTTTTTTTTAATCGCGTATCAGGTAAGTGGACTTTTCGTGAAAAAAGAAAATTAATTCAGTCCGTTGAACAGAACATTAAAAATGTTTATAGCAACTTAAAATGTCCCTCCTTGATAGATGTACCATAGAGGTACCATCAATTAACGAATTTCAGGTTGATATAATAACAAGTTCACATGATCAAAATAATATAATTATAATTGTGCGTCTAAATATTATTTGCATTTAGAAAACGTCTCCTTGCGTACTCTTTAACGTAATAAACGTAATATACGGCGCATACGCGTCCGTCCAGTCTAATGAGAGATCATGGTTGATTAAACATAAATAACGATAGAGCATAAAGACCCGCAACAAAGTGTTTGCGTTAAATTATTTTTATTTTTAATAGATGTTTTCTAACATTATATTATTTAATCAACCATGATCTCTCGTTGGACGGAGTATAGATTAAAGATTTCAGCTATGCTGTGAGGACGTTGCGGAAGATGTAAATTCAGCAATTCAATTCGTTACGGAAAACGTTAAAAGCGTAAGTAGCTTGTATACATATATATTAATATAAATGTATACATTATAAATATGAAGTATATACTTAAGTTGATTGCCCACAAGATAAACAAACTTTAGCAGCATTAAGAGAAGCTGGTGCGTCCATTTTCCAATGACGAGACTAAAATAAAAACCATCCATACGTAAGCGGAATTCTCCGAGCTCCACCGATTGCTGGCAACAGAGAAAAAAAGATTTTAACTCGCAAGAACGGCAATTAAGAATTCACAAAGAGATTTTCGCTGAGATATAGCGACGACTCAAGCCTCCCGAAAAAATATACTTTTGTGCTTGAAATGTTAAAATATTATTTATCGTGGGCAAAAAGCGCCGGGACAAGAGTCTCGTAAGTGCAAAGTTCCACAATTTATTAATTATACAGTACATTGAACCTTCATTTATTAAAAAGAGAAATAATATTCTATTAATATGACATTAAGATTCCAATTGACATTTATACATAATTTTCTTAATCGACATGTTTTATATTATCATGCAATGCTATCTGACGATTCGTTCCCTTCGACATTTTCCTCGATTTCCTGGTTCCATTTCGCAGCAGCCTCTAGAACAAGGGATGCTAATTCCTTGATCTCTTCGTTTTGTATGGTATCGTTCTTGCTCAATTCTCTCACTTGTTTCATTATTGTATCTGTTTTGATGAGTTTTGCAGCGACGTCTTTTGTACTATTCACCATATTTAACGCAATTTCAATACCCTTACGTTGAAAGTAATTGTCTGGATTATTGAGTAAAAGGTATAGGAATTTCGGCCAAATATCCCAGCGAAGTAATTTTTCACAAGCTTCTTCGCTGGCTGCCGTTAGCGTTGTTACCGCTTCAACTGCTGCTTTCTTTGTACGTTCATCTACGTTGCTCACCACAGACCAACCAATAAGATACCCAAGTTGATAATATCTCTGCTTAACATATTGAATAGCAACTTTACGGCATAATACCAAATTGTTTATTAGTTTTGCGTACGCGCAGTCCACCATGTCGTGATTATCGTTCATATAGTTGTTGAAATTCTCAAATCCTGAGTCGTTAAATATATGTAATCGCATACTATCCTTGACACTAGCTAGATTGCACAAAGCTGTTAGAGCCTCGCATCTCTCATTAACGGAACACTCCGGGTTCAAGAGATTTGTGATCGGCTGTACAACATCCATCATTAAATCACCGGGAAATGCATCCTCAGGAGGTAACGTGTGTGCCAGATAGACTAAGACTTGCGAAGCTATCTTTTTTCCTTTGTCTGTGCCATCTAGCGCTAACGACAACAATGCCTTCGTACCGCCTTGTTGAACAACTGTTTTTGTCAATTCCTCTTTACCGCATATAGCGGAGAATACGCGAGCTGTCAGTTCCTTGCAGTTTTGGTTGCCCGTTTTGGCGAGGTTGACCAGAGCGCCGGTCACACCGTTCTTCACTAACAGGCACCGTCTTTTCTGCACAAAGTCTTCGTCATTTTTAGACAGATATTCTTCAAGAAAATAAAATTTGAGAAATTTCATCGATTCTTCTATCTCAGGTATAAATGTTGGTTGAAATGTAGATTCTATCATAAGCCTCTCATAAGCATTGCACACGTTTACTAGCGTCGTGGCCACACTATAGAGGACTGATTGATCGCTAATCTTGGCAAGCTCGAAAACTGTTTGAATGATTTGTTGGTCCTTGATCAACTCGTCTTTGACGTTGCCGTCGAGAGTGAGGTACGATAGGCCTTTAACGGCCCATTTTATTATATTTTTTTCTTTCTTGGGATTTATTAATAATCTTCTGCAAACCTTGACTAATTTGTCCGTCGCTTCACCCCAGAACGGTTTGCTAATGTAACCGCGGGTTTTAAACTTGCTCCACTCGCAGAAACCCACCAACGCTTGAATCCGTATTACATCATCCTTAGATTGATACAGAAATATCCGCAATATCTTTACACCTTCATTTATGAGCGCGTTGACCTCATCAAAATTAGTCATAGCGGCAACGAGGCATTCGCAAACCACTTTCTGTTGCAATACGTCATCCGTTTTCGCCATATCGAGAATCCTCATACAACCCGTCGACGGATTTGTAAAGATAATTCTGTCTGCAACTTCTAACGGACCGAATATTAGGGTTGTTATTGCAACTACTCCACGCAGCTGTAAGATAATCGATTATAACAATTTATAAATTTGTACATTTTATGAAATAATAATTAATTAAAAAGAAATGTCAATGATTAGCTTTATTTAATTTTGATGAAAAATAGGAGAAGTCTTTGATAAATTATGCTTCAGAAAATACGATAGATGACAAAGTCATATTCTTCAGTAAATTTTGATTAAACTCTGTTATAACCGTATTTTAATATATAAAGTTACAGAATATACAAAATCGACAATTTAAAAGGAAATCTCTTTTGACATTTTTGCTTTAAAAATATATTGTTTTAAATTTCTCAAGTACGCTAAGGTTAGAGAGATAATAGATTTTTTATTTTAAAACAATTTAAGTAATTAGAAAAGATCCGAAGTTACAAAATTCATACTTTAGATTCTGTGTCAGATGTAAACAATTTATCCTTAATAAATTTATCAATGGTGTTGAAAAATATCCCCTTATCGACATTACGGTCCATGTTTTTCCATATCTTTGCTAAGGACATACTGATAATAGTTCGCGTGGAATACGTGATGTCGAACGAAGATTCGTATTGGTATTCCTCCAATTGACTGGCAACCTCCATTAATTTTTTCAAACCGTCAAACTTGACTAATCGTTTGGCCCAGTCTAACGCAGTATAATGAATGTTACGCGTAATAAGTTCTATTATTGCGTCTCTAGCAAGTCCTGTTATCGTTTTACTCTCTACACTATTCAACAAGCACGACAAAATCGTATTAATTTCTTTCTTATGCTTTTCGCACAAAGCCTCGTCGGGTTTTGTACTGGGTTCATTATTCATGCCGCTATATTTGTTCAATATATTCTGAAACCGAAATGCACAATAAATTAATTACTGAAATATGTGCATGATAACTGCACGTATTTCGCTTGATAATAATATTTACCTGTAAACAGTATTGAGACGCGTTGACTCTTTCTGTAGATTTGCTGTTCATCATTTCCAGACTCCAAGGCAAAACAACGTTTATCATAGTGGGCTCAGTTTGATTAATATTGTTTTGGCATAACTCGTCTACAATACGAATCGCGCTACAGATCGCTTCATCATCTTTTTTTACTTCCTTTATAAAGATTTCGCAGGCATCAGTTCTCCAACTTGCGAGCCTAAGCATATTAATCATGGCGTTTTCACGTTCCTCTTTATCTACGCTCACGTTAAATGCTAGACCCATCATTTGTGATACCTAATACGAAACGAAATTAAGCGTATATTTGAATATAAAGATCTCGTGATCTTCTGTAATAAAAATATAAGTTAACTGTGAAAGGTGATATTTCTATATTTGTATGACGTAATTTTTATCCATATAGTGTGTGTAGACAGCTACTAATCAATAGGAATAACTAATTATATAATAAGAGAGACAAGAATTCAACTCCGTTTGTCAAATTATATGTAATATTGAGTGAAACGAGAACTCTTATTAGAATATATATGTATATTGAGCATGAAAAATGTGTTATTATTTTTATATTATCTAGACCAAATTAACGTGTCTTGTAAGTTTATAGTTATGTATATTTATTTTGGCATTAGTACTTACTTTTTCTTTAATATGTTTGTGTGAAATTTCATGAAATTGCGTTGGTAGAGATTGAGACATTGTGTTATCTGAGTAACATAAAATCATTTTCATGTTTTGACGTGCCTCCTCGAATCTCTCTAACTCTATTAATGCTAAAAATCTGCGAAACATTGATATGGAAAGTATTTTATGATATATTTTCATCACACTGTTGCAGTCTTCAATCGTTTTGTCGTAATCACGTAGTTCGAAATATGTGGCAGATCGTTTATCGTAATACAATGCTTTCTCAGTGTTGTCCTCTGTTACTATTTCAATTGCGTTTGTGTAATAACTTAAGGCTTTAGACCAATTGCCTTTGTTAAACTCTTCATCACCTTTCTCTTTCCATTTCTGTGTAGTCATATTTGACTTTGGCATGGTGGAATAACTCTACAATACAAAATATATGATGTTGCAATTTTTTTTAACATTGAAAGACTTTGTGGCATTTTATACATTATCTTAAATGTGAAAAGCACAAGTTATAAATTTATTACAAAATATTTATATGCCAAGTATGAGACAGTAATGAGTCAAAAATAAACTTACAGCACTTATAGCGTTTTTTCTTGGCTGCACTACCGCCCTGCACTGCCCTGCACTACCCAATAGCGTTGCACTAGTGTTGCACTAGTGTTGCACTAGTAGGCGATAGTGCAGCCAAAAAAAAACGCTATTAATAATAGCATTATTGCACTTTCTAATGTAAAACCTGCATATAAATTGTAATCGACTGTAGCAACCATTTTTATATTAGACAGCTGACTTTTATTAAACATTAAAAAACAGGTTTATTAACATTAAACATTAAAAAACAGGTTTATTTTCGGCAAACTGTCTTCGATATAAATAGGAGCTAGCACTGGGGTTCAATAGAGACTGAATAATGCTATCGATCTATTGATTGTAATTTAATTATTATTGATCGCGAAAGTTCGAGTTTGGATCGACAACAATTCATGACATTACATGTTGATATTTTATTTTTTTTTAACGAGAGAAATGTATAATTTTACATTTCGCTGCAATAGTCAGGAGCAATTTACATTTCTCTTTTTTTTGCGTCGGGAATTTAAATTCTCCCAATGCGTGTCTGGGAAGAGCGTGCGATTTATCTCAGATTTGCGAGAAATTTAATTGCGTGAAGTTAAATCTCGTTCCATCGATATTTTTGTTTATATGGCGATATTTAACGTTCCGTCAACCAAGTGATTGTTTTTCGGTTTTTTTCTTTGACACATCCAAGTACTTTGGTTTGTTCACCCAGTTCGAACGTGTTTCGTATAAACAGATCGTCACAACGGTCGATGGCTGAAGGGTAACATAAGAAAACAAGGACTCGGGCAACAAGGACTTTAGATTCGTGGAGAGTCACATTTTGACGAGATAAATATTACGGTACACGAAAGTTAATTTTTCAGTTACATAAAAGAAAAGAAACATTAATATGATTTATCATTAAATTATAGGGTGTTTTGTCATACGTCGCTTTTTCTTCGAATAACATGAGATGGTTCTAAACGTTTATATTAATGCTCTAATTGCAACTTATTCAGAAGAATTCGGATACTGTGTTTAATTATAGCCCTACAATGGAATTACTGCCTGGTTTGGCTTTACAGTTTTACTCGAATAAGATACACAGTAGCGTGATCGAGCGGAAATGAAACGTTTTGCTCTACTTGCCTCGACGATTCGTATTTTCAGTCAAAAAGTAATAATCTCACATTTGTTACGAATACCTTTATCACATCGAATTGGATCACGTTGCACGCGAAAAGCTTTTATTCAGATTGTCGCGGCCAAATAAAAGAGAATGTAAAGTTTTTATACCTGTCGGATATTTGTTTTCTCCTGTCGCTCGAGCACCCTTAAATTTCTTTGCTCCACGATTGTCTACCTAGCACTCCTTTTCAACGAGTAATTCGAACCGCTAAGCATTATCCAAAGTGAGTGCCGTGCGCCGTCTCCCTCCAATAGAATTTCTGATTAGCTTTTCGTAGCCACGTGACCGGCGTTGCTAGTGAGGCACAAGGCTGCGCGTCACGTGACTTTCGTAAAAAACAGTCAAAATTGATTTTTCGCAGAATTCAGGATGAAACATCGGCGATAAGCAAATAAAGTTACGAGCGAAGCGTCGTGACGCGGATAATTCGACGATATTGTTCGGCGAAGTAAGATCTCACGCGACCAATATAGGAATGCTCGACTCGAATTACATCGGGATTAACACTAGGATTAAAGTCCTGGATAAGAATGCCTGATTGTCGTCAGGTATAGGCGCCTCGCATGCGCGCTAAAGGCCATTGCACGTGACAAAGTTTTATAGTCATAGGTAATCGTAAGACCGTAAAAAAATAGACCAATCACAGTCGATTATTCTTCTTGAGCTCGAAAAATAATCGAGTGTGATTGGTCTATTTTCTTACGGCCTTACGATTATGACTAAAACTTTGTTACGTGCAATGGCCCTAACGATCCTTAATCGACCGTAATGTTCGTATTTTTTGTAATTTTTAAACAACGGCAGGTGGCGGGCGAACGGAAGACTGCTATGCGTTCTATCCATTTTCGCACACTTTGTAACGATACTGGGAAATTTTTTTTTAAATCAACGATTGTATTTTATAAAACTTTTGGACTAAATCATGACTCGAATTAGTTTAAATTGTTTTCACTAATGTTGCATGTAGAAGAATTGCATCTTTTGCTGCTCCGGGATATATATATTCGCAATACATTTTATTATACCAAATTTACGTTGTTTTATTAGAATCATAATTCTTTTTATTATAAATAGCGATGTTATTTATTAATAATGGAAATAACTTACAGGTCTATTGTGCAATGCACTTTTGAAGCCGGTAGTTTTGCAACATCGTAAATTGAAGTTTCTGGTTAAGATGTATTGCAATTTGCGCCAGATTTCACAGTAAAATTCTACCAAAACAAATTTTCTAAAATTCAACCAATAAATTTTTTCAACTTTCAATAGAACCAATTTTTCTTGTATATATGTATATATGTATAATTGTATGTATAATACTTGAAGAAATTAATATAGCCTGTAATATTAACTTTACAATTTATTTCCATTACATGGGGCATAAAATTGATTTTTATCTCTATTTACTGTGAATCTCACTGCCACGAATCGTTTAAGGTAGTTAGTCCGTAAACTCATTTTCTTGGAAACCTTATAAAATTTGAACAGTATATATTAATGTAAAAACAATTTATATATTTATACAATTAGAAAAAAATTGACGTACCGAAGTTGAGATAATTGGAATCAAAGTTAGTACTTTTTTATGTATCACAGATACAATAACTTCTGATATGTTTCTAATTGTAGCGATTAAACTACTCTTGCAACTTTTATGGAAAACAAGAAAACGATAGAAGAGACTTGTAAAAATATACTTACAAAAATACAAGCCCTTTGAACGTCTAGTTTCAAAGTAATTGATACCTAAA